ACACCTACTGAATTAGAGACAGGGGAAGGGGCATGGCAAACTGTGTTTTACAAGTTCCCCAGATGATTCCAGTGTTAAAGTTTGAGACCCACTATGTTGAAGTATTAGAGCAGATGCCCTTAGCAATAAAAATGGTTAGCAATAATTCACGGGGTAGGGGTGGAAATAATATATATAAGACTTACTCAGCTGGTAAAGAATCCACCTGCAATATGGGAGACCTGGGTCCCATCCCTGGGTTGGGAAGATCCCTTGGAGAAAGGGAGGGCTGGCTACCCACTCCAGTATTCTGGCCTGGAGAATTCTATGGACTTGTATAGTCCATGGTGTTGAAAAGAGTAGGTCACGGCTGAACGACTTTCACTTTCTACAAATCTGAAAGTTAGGCTATGAAATTTTCTTTACACAGAGAAAACAATACTAATTTCTCTCCCTCTTTGAAACTTAGACACTTTATAGCAATTTAAAGACTGTAAACTACCCAAGTTACTTTTTCTTTTTTGGCTGCACCACATGGTATGTAGGATCTTAATCTCCATACTAAGGATCAAACCTGCACCCACTGCAGGGCAAGCACAGTGTTTTAACCACCGGATCACAAGAGAAGTTCCCTTAATTACTCATTAAAAGAAATGATTTGAAAGAAGGAATCCAAATTTAACTGTCTACTAGCATTAGCAAAGTTTGCAAAACAGATTTGTTTTAACTGGGTACATAGCATCCTCTTAACAACCCTATGAAGTAGAATGAAACAGAGCTGGAATGAAGTCCAAGCCTGCCAGAATGTATGACCCCATTCATTTTCTATTAAGCTTTCTGTCATCTTATAAATATTAGCTGCCTTGCCGTTTTCCCATCTCCCATTCCCTGCTTTATCTCAGTCTTGATGCTTTGAAATGACAGTTTCAGGCCAAATAGTAGAAGAGCCTCTTCAAAGTATGGGTACTAAACACTTGGAAAACATTACTTGCAGTGCTAGTACCAGGCTGAAAATGCATATAGCTTCAAGAAGAGTTTAGAGATATTATTGGATAATAGGCTTAAAAGGGCCTCTGAAAGAAAGGAAAGAAATAGAAGGTTTGAAGATAACATCAAGTTCTAGAGGATGTACAGGTTTCATAATATAACATAAATCCCAGCAACAGTCCCTTCTTGCCATTATCTCAGACATCAGGCTATAGAACTTGAATTTGATCAAGTGAGATATATCTTAGAATCTGATATTTATAATAGTCTAATGACTTGAGTGTCAAATTTCTCTTCACTTTTTTATTGAGAAGTTATCATTACAGCGGAAATCTTCTGCTTTTGCAGAAGATGCTACGTTTATGCCATTCAGGCAACTGGAAAGAAATTTATATTTACCGTATGCTAAGGTTGTGTCAAATGCCATACACCTCTTTTTTAATGTTTCAGACAAACCCACGAGGAAAGCGTTTTTTCTCTCCACTTGTAGATGAGAAGGTACAGGCTTGAGAGGTTAAGGAACTTGCCAAGCATCAGATAGAGGTGGAAGAGCTGGAACTAGAATGCACATCTTAATCTAGCTCCTTCCCACTGCTCCAAAGGGAAACATTCAAAAGAAAAAAAGAATTAAAGAAAGAAAGAAAAGGTTGTTCAGTTACTCAGCTATTTCATTCATTGTTGTTTGAACAGAAGCAACTGATGTCTTAAATCAATCTGATCAACTGCACAAGAACTGGTTGTTCGGATTTTTTATAAAGGTTTGATTGAAAGCCAGTTATTTCAGTGGCCATATGTAGACCTGGACTTAATAAATGACCACCTTTGAGTCCTGCAGCTGGAAGAGCACAAAAGAAGCCAGAGGCAAGTCAATGGCAAATTGCCACCCCAAACAAATTGCAGCATGTAAGCTCCAAAACTTGAATTACCCTTTAAGGATTAAGGTTCAGGACTGTGAAAAATTAAAAATGTTGCCTAACCTAGGAAATAGCATATGAATCAAAAATATCATTACTAAGTTTAACTGCACTCCTAATCTTCCACTTTCATGACATCTACACTGTTTTGTTATTCTTAATGGACCAAATCCCCTTTCTGGTAATGTTCTGGAAATTCTATTTTTGTGGTAATTTAAAAAGTCATATGGCATGTTCTTTACATTTGGTTTATGTAGGAGTTAAGACCACTTCAAACATACTTTTCTTTTTTAGTCTGATGGCTATTTAATAGTGTGTCATTCACTGGTTGAAATAAAAGTAGGTTAATCTGCAAAAATACATGAACACCCAAAAAAGACTGAATTGTATCTTTAGAAATGATTTTTTTTTTCAAAGTTAGACATCAAAGGCTGCATATTGTAGAAAGTTTATTTTGAGAGGCTTCAGTCAAAACAGTTTGGAAACTATGGAATGAGTCATTTTTTCTTAAAGAAATGTAACTTTGTCTATTCCCACTGCATTTTTGGTTTGGTAGGAGACATCTTTATTCCACAGGATTTTAAAAGCATGTTTAAGATTCCATAGGTTTAGTATTACATCACTAATGGTTTCTAATGAGATCCAGGCAATAGCAAGAGGGGAAAAAAGAACAGCACAAAAACTGAATTCTACAACATCAAGTACCATGTGAAACATGGAAAAGTCCATGCTTTATCTATGGCTGAGGCCATCTGGTAAAAAAAAACACAAAACAAAAAAAGGGTGTGGGGGAGGATTCACATTCTATCAACCAGATGTAGATGACAAGATACTTAATGTTTGACAACTTGGAATCAGTCATCTAAAGGGCTGAATTTTTTACTTTTCAAGCAGATGTGTGCTGCCCTGTAAAATCTGTGAAACATGCAAATATCTATTCTGTATTAATTCTATTGAGTGCTTGCTGTTGCTGTTTAGCCTCTAAGTTGTGTTCCACTCCTTGTGACCTCGTGGACTGAAGCCTGCCAGGCTCCTCCGTTCATGGGATTTCCCAGGTAAGAATGCTGGAATGGATTGCCATTTCCTTTTCCAGGGGATCTTCCTGACCAGGGATCTTCCTGACCAGGGATCGAACCCATGTCTCCTTTACCGCTGAGCCATCTGGGAAGCATATTGAGTGCTTACGTCTTTAGTTATTTGTCTGATTTTATCCTCATAAACACCTTTTATGTAAGTATTATACCAATTGTACTTTTGAGATGCTGTCAGGGTGTACATAAGAAGATAATGTGAAAACCAAACCTTCCCCAAGCCTTTAGCAACTCTGGTATTTCAAGGAACATAGATGAGGGGACAGCTGGGGTTGGCAGGATGACCCACAGAGATTAGTAAATGATAATGGGTAAATGAGATAAATGGAGACTTTCTAGCATTTTTGCTTAAGGGTTCCAAAGTTAAACTTTCCAATTTACAGATGGGTGTAACCAGTTTCTGTTGAAGGGTGGGGCTGTGTTCCCTTCCTGTTATTTGACCTGAGGCCAAACTATGGTGGAGGTAATGAAGATAATGGCGACCTCCTCCAAAAGATCCCAGGCATACACTGCTACACTCAGTGCCCCCAACCCTGCAGCAGGCCACCACGACCCACGCCTCTGCCAGAGACTCCTGGACACTCACGGGCAAGTCTGGGTCAGTCTCCTGTGGGGTCACTGCTCCTTTCTCCTGGGTCCTGGTGCACAAGGTTCTGTTTGTGCCCTCCAGGGGTCTATTTCCCAGTCCTGTGTAAGTTCTGGCAGCTCTATGGTGGGGTTAATGGCGACCTCCTCCAAGAGGGCTTATGCCATGCCCAGGTCTGCTGCACCCAGCCATACCCAGGGCCACTGCACCCAGAGTCCCTGCCTCTGCAGCTGTCCACTGCCTACCCGCACCTCCTCAGGAGACACTCAAAGGCAGTTCTGTCTCAGTCTCTGTGGGGTCTCTAGGCTGAAACTAGGCTGCATCTCTGAAGGTGCACTCCTAATCCTTTCCTCAGGATTCAGCCCTTTGGAACACGTTAATACAGTTCTCCAGGAATTCCATTCAGTCACGTATCACATGCTTGAAGCTTAAATGATGAAAAATGTCTTTAAAAAACAGAGACATTACTTTGCCAACAAAGGTCTGTCTAGTCAAAGCTGTGGTTTTTCCAGTAGTTACGTATGGATGTAAGAGTTTGACTTTAAAGAAAGCTGAGCGCCGAAGAACTGATGTTTTTGAACTGTGGTGTTGGAGAAGGCTCTTGAGAGTCCCTTGGACTGCAAGGAGATCCAACCAGTCCATCCTAAAGGAAATCAACCCTGAATATTCATTGGAAAGACTGATGTTGAAGCTGAAACTCCAATACTTTGGCCACCTGATGCAAAGAACTAACTCCTTGGATGCTGGGAAAGATTGAAGGCAGGAAGAGAAGGGGATGACAGAGGATGAACTGATTGGATGGCATCACTGATTCAATGGACAAGAGTTTGAGTAAACTCTGGGAGTTGGTGATGGACAGGGAGGCCTGGCGTGCTGCAGTCCATGGGGTCACAAAGCGCCGGACATGACTGAGCAACTAAACTGAACTGAACACCAGTTTATAACTTTATAGTGTCAAAACTTTCTCTGTCATGATTACATTTGAGCTTTGTCACAGGCCTATTACACAGGAAGTTTTCTAAAAACCTATGCAACAATTTCATCTCAAAGCAACTCAACAATTATTGACCTGAGTCTGGAGTGTCCATATATAAAGTTCTGTACTAGTCACAGTGGAGAGGGAGCAAAACAAAGGTCAATAAAGGCACAGTTTTTGTCTTCAAAGAACTTAAACAGGGAGACAGACACAACCACTATATCACAAAATAGAAAGCTGAGTATAACAAATGCAATAGGGACTCTCCTGGCGGTCCAGTGGTTAAGAATCTGCCTTCCAGTGCAGGGGACTCGGGTTCAGTCCCTGAAGAGGAACTAAGATGCCACATGCAGAGGGCAACTAAGTCCACGTGTCACAACTAAGACCCAAAGCAGCAAAATAAATTAATGAATACATTTCAAAAATTTATATTAAAAATAAACAAATAAAAATGCAATAAAACATACCTGATTCTCTTCAAATGAAGTAGCACAAGTTGCTTTAAGATCTGGAAAGGAAGTTTGAAAAGGTTATGATAAGAGGCACTGTTTTAGAAAGTTGAAATACTTTTATACAAGGAGGTATCCATGTCATAGATTTTTTATGGTATTAGCTTTCACTCATATGACAATTATTCAACACTGACAACATTCCAGGAGCGTGTTAGTTAGTGTCTTTCTTTAAAAAAATTATAACATTAAATTTTGTCAAATTTCTTATGAAAATCACCACAATATGACATTCAACTGAAGAATAAAAATCTTGGTCAGTCTACCGCATGCCTTATTTATACTATGTTGGGCAACACATTTGACAAGTGAATCGATCAAACATATGTCTAGTTCAGACACATGATTCTAGAAATTCCAGAAAGTCTCTCTTCATTCAATTTACCCATTATCATTCACCAAATAAATTGATTGTCAGAACAAAGCAAGGAAGTATAACATTTTCCCAGACATGGGGAAATGAGGCAAACCTCATTTTAAGTCCAGACATTGTAATAGTAAAAGGTAGCTATTGGCATCTCATTAAACACAAAATTCTAAAACTGAACATTTCTGATTTCCCTTCTATCTATAACTTTAACTTAGCAAGCAATACTGTACCTAAAACAAGATAGAGTTGCCCAAGGATTGACACCATCTTGAGCATCATCATCATCATTTTGGTGAAAAGTCACAAAGTTGTCAGTTGTTTTGTTAGTCTCAACTATTTATTAACAGGGCTTCCCTGGTAGCTCAGCTGGTAAAGAATCTGCCTGCAATGCAGGAGACTTGGGTTCAATCCCAGGTTTGGGAAGATCCCCTGGAGAAGGGAAAGGCTACCCACTGTAGTATTCTGACCTAGAGAATTCCATGGACTGCATTGTCCACGGGGTCACAAAGAGTTGGACACCACTGAGCGACCTTCACTTTCACTCTCATTTTAATAGTTTAGGACTTTCCCCTACAAGTGTCTGACCAACAGAATTTGGTGTGCTGAAGTTTACCCATTTTTATAAGAATTATATGCTAAATCTTTGAAGCACACAAGGAAAGATGGATAGCTAGACAGACAGACTGGGGTTATAACTGTTGTTTTCACTACAGATGTCATCTTTAGACATTACCTGACTCTCTACTATAAAACATAGGGAAATTTGTTTCCTTAACACTATGTTTTACAGTTCCTTCCCTATTTTAAAACAATATCATTATTATTTTTTAGTTGTTAAGGTATATAACATTTACCTTTTAAATCATAATAGTAACAGTTGTTTAGCTTTAGTTTTATATTTAATTATAAATATAATCTAAGGTTAATATAAAACAACATGTTACATTATGAGCCTTCTTTTAAATAATGGGAATGCTCACATATATTTTATTTTATTTTTTTTTTTTTTCACATATATTTTAAAGTTGAAACTTCTACCATATCCCATCACCCTCTGCTTCCTCCCACCTTACCTCCCAGGAAAAAAAATTGGCCAAAATTGCAAAGTAACACATATTTTTTTTAAATTGGGCAACCATGTACATCTAGTGCTTACAGAGAATCTCATTTTAAATTATATGAATCACTAAATGTGCAAGAGAGTTGAACTATAAAGAAAGCTGAGCACCAAAGAATTGTTGCTTTTGAACTGTGGTGTTGGAGAAGACTCTAGAGAGTCCCTTGGACTACAAGGAGATCCAACCAGTCCATCAAAAAGGAGATCAGTCCTGAATATTCACTGGAAGGACTGATGCTGAAGCTGAAACTCCAATACTCCAATACTTTGGCCACCTGATGTGAAGAACTGACTCATTTGAAAAGGCCCTGATGCTGGGAAAGACTGAAGGCAGGAGAAGAAGGGGACGACAGAGAATGAGATGGCTGGATGGCCTCACTGACTTGACAGACAGGACTTTGAGCAAACTCCAGGTAATGGACAGGGAAGCCTGGCATGCTGCAGGCCATGAGTTGGCAAAGAGTCAAACACGACTGAGCAACTGAACTGAAAGGTGTAAGGTAGATCTTCAGATCGCTTAAACATTTCTAATGGATAATACGGTCAAAAAAGTCTTCCAGTAGCCAGATGCTTTTTCTCTATCTTGTGTATTATTTTCTATATACTTTTTACTGTAACTTTTCTTTCAATACTCTGTATATCACACAAAAGTATCTGAATAGGATCATCCAACATCTAGACTTTCATACATCTTTCAGCAGTCTTTTAGGCCCAGCAGTATTTTACCTGGAAGGCTAAATGTGCTGTATTTATTTTTACCTGTGTCAGATTTCTCCTACATTTTACTGATCTTCCTTGAAAAAACAGAACTGTTTTCTTATAGAAACCAAACGACTTTGGAGTAAAATGGTTTAAAGGGCAGCTCCTACTTTCGGAGCCTTCAGACTGCCGTCTGTCTGCGCTGTGTTATGCTAAGTCTCAGTCCTGTCTGACTCTGGGACCCCATGGCCTGTAGCCCACCAGGCTCCTCTGTTCCTGGGATTCTCCAGGCAAGAAAACTGGAGTGGGTTGCCATGGCCTCCTCCAGGGGATCTTCCCAACCCAGGGAACCTGCATCTCTTTTGTCTCCTGCACTGGCAGGAGGCTTCTTTACCACTAATGCTAACTGGGAAGTCCTACTGTTCATCTAGACAGGGTCAAAATCATCAGTCAGTTTAATCTTACCTCAGTGTAGACAGACTACCCAACTACTCTCATCAATATGGACTGAAGTTACACATAGACTATGTCTTAGAAGTTTCTGGTTATCATATATATATATAAAGAGACATGACTCAAAGTTCGTGTTTTGAGTTTTGAAAACTCAAAGTTTTTAGATTCAAATTCTCATGAAAATAAAAACTGAACTGTGTAGAAGGCTGAAAAATAAGCACATTAACAAAATTACAAGACCACGTCTGATTTTCACTAGACCTGTTATTTCAGTTTCTGTTATCTTTTCAGGTATATTTTCATGGCTATCTTAATCCTTTCTTTAAAACTTGGAAGACGACTAGAGAAACAGAAACTTTTATTTTGGGGGATTATTAGTGTTCCACAATTTTTCTTTCCATTGGGCAATAAAGACTGGCCACTGGTGGCAGAGGGATATTCAAGTGGCAGTTAACTCGAGCATGCAGAACTGTGGGATGCGCCACAAATAGGCTGATCAATTTTTATAACCTTGGTTGATAATTTTCTACTATGAGGTCTGACTCTCTTCACTTATGGAATTAAAGCTATTTCTCCTTTTTCCATCTCTACAGGGACTTTATGATTAAAAAAACAATAAATATGATAAAAACAGTGTGCTTTATGTGCAGTCATTGTGAGGCTCTACAGTGATTTTACAATGGCTTCTTAGATGTTGACTGAACTTTCCAAAACTTTATAGAGATGATTTCAACACTACTGGACTGGATTGAGGTTCTGAGGGTATGCAAGTATGTTTGTTAAGCAGTCTTGAGTATCCCAAACATTAAGGGTGTGGATATCACTTGGGCCTCACTACACTGACTCAAAGCAGCACATTTATAGTGAGTATTTACTATGTGCTAGATACAGTGCTAAGAGCACTGAGAATAAAATTATAAACATGAGAGATGTTGTCCCACTCCTCTTAAGTCTGTGGTCTACTAGGGGTATGAAAATCAAATATCACAATGCAGTGTGATAATCTTGCTGTAGAGAAAGAATTGCGCATTGTCGGAGCACAGAGAAGGCTATTAGCCAAACATGAGTCTGTTAACCTTTCCTGAGGAAGCGACATCTAAGCTGAGACTTAAGGTAGTGGAGTAAGAGGGTGTGGAATGGTATGGAAAATAATTTTTAATTTCCTGGAGAGAATCATTTGTGCCTCAAATATATTCTCCATGCTAGGGCCTTGGTTCTTTCTCCTGGGCCTCACCTGGGGTCACTCTTCTGCTGGTCAGATTCCTTGTCCTCAGTCCCTCTTGCTTTGCACAGTGTCAGAGAGCTTATAGAGGAGACAGGAGAAGAAGACATATGTCTAGAATTTAGATCTGGACTTACTGCCTTTCCTTTCAAAGAAAGACCCTCTTTAGAGTGGTCAGTTCAGATTTTCTCCAGTGACTGAACATGGCTAAAATCTCTACCACACACTTCTGGCATCCAGTCTCCTCTTTTTCCCCCTAGCGTTTTCCACTCCAAACAAACAAAAATGTTGGCATATGGACTACTGCCATCAGCTGATGGCTTGGTTTTGCTCTTGGAGGGTGTCGCAGACACCAGCCTCACACTGCATTCAGGGGCTTCCTGGAGCGTGGCTGCCGTCTGTCCTGCCTCCGTGGCGACCCACAGAAGCTCTGGCACACTGGTGGGTCATCCAGTTACATTTTCCAGAGAGGAGTGATAATTGCAAGATTTACTGAGCAGAGAAATATGACCCATTAAGTGTAACCTAAAAATAATTTTTGCTCAGAAAAAGAAAATCTAATTACCTTGGTCTTTACTATGAAAAATTGGGTTCATCTGGGTACAGACACATGGAACCTTCCTTTGAAGTAGATCGTACATTCCAAAATATCTCTGGCAGAGCCTGGGGTCTGCTTCTGATTAGATAATTGACATAAACCTTCCTCCAATAAACACTGAACCCTTCAAAAACAGAGGAATCCGAGAATAAAATACATCTATGTTTTGAGCAGAAAGCCTTTTGTGATAATTGGTTATCAGAAAACAGTTTCCTTTTCCTTTTATCAACCAGCATTAAGACTTAAGAAGCAAAACGTATGCTTGATGAAATTCTAGCTGAAACTTCAAATCAGTCTTGGATCTATTCTAGATGGTATCAGGTTTATCATTGACTTTAAGGTAGTACTTCCATATTTACAGTGTTCCATCCTTGTCCCACAAAACTAAATTCATTGCTGATAACTTCTAGTTAAAAGATAAGTAAGTACTAGGAATACAACATAGCTAATACTGCTGTATGATATATATTGACAGGAAGATAAGAGAGGAAATCCTGTAAGTTCTCATCACAAAGAGAAATTGTTTTCCCCTTTATTCTT